TATTGGCAGCTTAGCGGCTGCTCAGCTCGGGCTGGCCTCGAACCGCTGTTGCTCAGAGCTCAAACTCTTGAGCGAGCTCTTAACCAACTGAGCCATTCGGCCGGCCCAGTAATCTAATTCTTAATCATTGCAAAACCTTAGTTAATACCATCTTACCAAAAGAAAAACATCTATTAGAACTACTTAATTCAGTTTCTTAAAAGACTCTGGTTTGTAACCCCACGTGAGTCCATCAGTCAAAATATGTTCCCATCTGGAGTCTTAACATAGAAAAATGGAAGCTTGCAGGAATGGGTACTCTGTCTGGTTGCAAAGTGCTTGCCAGACTGGTTCATTAAAACAGCACTGAAAACAAAAACACTAATTAGCTAATGGGATTATTAGAACCATTTGTCAAGTATGACAACGATGGTTGGCTGACATTAACAATGAAAGAACCTGAAACTCCCCTTCAGGATCTGAGATAATGTACGTGTGACAGCACACGTGGAATGGGACACACTACATGCAAGTGTGGATCTAGTTAGTCTAAGAAATGATGGTCAGACCTTAGTTTTAGCACATGGCACAAATCCATTCAAATCCTGGACAATGTTATGTAGGTTTTCCAGCTATGCCTCATTTCCCAGCCCTGTAGAAGGTCAAGCAGGAAACAGCTCCTTGGTGTCCCCTTTCCATTGATTGAAGGAGCAGCACATCTCTGACAGACAGCGGGAGTAACTGTGTTTGTATATATATATGCGTGTGTGTGTTTTGTGCTCAACTATTTAAGGAAACTGGAATTTTAAAGTAACTTTTATACGAACCAAGACTATATGCTGCAGATGTTCAGACAGACATAATTTGGTCCTACATCTCTAGTCACCATGAATGTATTTTGTATGCTATCTTCATATAATAAAGTTAACTTTCAAAACATGGATGTTATTTTCTCCCTGATTTGCTTATTCATGAAAACGGGGGTCACAGGTTTCCCTGGGGGTAGGAACTGGTGTTCTGGGAGATCTCGTTAAATACCGATTATTAAACTCAGCACTGTGAAAGAAGGCAGAGCTTCCTCTCAACACTACAGCATGGCTGCGCTAACCATAGGGATGCTGTAAAAATGAATTCACACCAGGCAGGCTGCCCAGAAAACTAAACACCAAAATAAGCAAGACCACAAGTAAAATGTACAGACTGAGTGCTGGCTGCAGATGAAAGTGCCCTCAATTTAAAAAAAGACAGGCTTTCCCAAACACTAATTTTCAGCTAATAAACAATTACCACAATTACAGGGTGTGTATGTGCACAAGTATATGTGTGTGTATGATAGGCTGTGTACAGGAAACCTTACAAAATAATTAGGCAAAAGCCTGAGACACAGAGCTTCCCAGAGAGAAGTACACTAGCTAAGTTTCCTTCAACTTTGTGGCTTGCATCCTCGGAAGAGAAATAAACAATGCAGATAATCATTGCAGACACAGGCTGTGTCTAAGTGACCACCATTGTCTTAGGAAGTGGTCACACACCATCACCTTCCTAGTAACATCCTGAGGAAACTGGACTAGAGAGACTCTAGAAGGGAAAACAGAATTTTTTGGGGGACAAAGACAAGAAAAAAGGGATAAATGACTAATCTCAGTAAATATGTGGTTAACTGAAGAGGCATTTTATCTTCAAGAATCTGAAATTCTTTAAAAATATCGTTGGTTTTCATAACTTAAGAGTAAAGTCACTCTTTTAGGCAAATGATTTGAAGGATGCTCGAGGAACTGGCGTCATAGTTTAGAAGTTTTCTCATGACTCTGGAAACTTATAGTACATTTGGGAATTGATTTTTTTCTTTCCTCCAGCAGGATGGCCCAGTAAGGTTTATTGGAGTCATCGGTGTTAATCATATTACCAGACTTTTGGGTTTCACAGGCCAGAAATTCTTCAATATCCTGGGTCCTAACATAGGGATGAGCAGCTTTCTATTTCTGGAACTAAGGACATTTAAAGGAGAAAAAACCAACTAGATACCACTAATGTTCTATTTTTTTATCTGGGTGTGGTACCTAAGTGTGTTCACTTTGTGACAATTCATTGAGCTATACACTCATTTGCAAATTTGTGTTATATTATTCTTCAGTAAAAGATTATCTTAAAAATCCCATTTAAAAAGAGTAATAAGGGCTTAATGTCAAACTAAAATATATTAACTTTATGTGCCAACAACTATTCTAAGTGCTTTAGAGGAAAAAAACGTATTTTCACAGCAATCCAATGTGATAGGTAGGTAGTATACCCTTCATGTCAATAGGAAAATTGAAACAGAAGACCTACCAGCATCTGTGCTCATACACTCTGCCTTCCCTTCTCCATGGCCAACTCAACACACATACTAGTGCCCTTGACCCCTTCCTCTCGTCTACCTATGCAAGGACACTGCTCCAACAATTCCCACCCTCTCACCCCCAGCATATTTTCCCCTTTCCACTGGATCCTCTCCCTTGTCTTAGAGGAAAAAACTTACATCCCTATTTTCCCCTCCAGCTACCACCCGTTTTTCTATTCCTCTCTACAGCAAAATTCCTTGGAAGAGTCCATTATACTCCTTGTCTCCAATTTCCCTCCTCCCAGGCACTTCAAATCCCCTCCAGCCCAGCTTTCACTCACTCTCATGAAAATGCTCTTGACAAGCTTATCAGTGACCTGCACATTGCTAACCCCAACGGCCCATTTCAGTCTCAGTCTTTCTTGACCCATCAACAACTTGACCCTTATTCCTGAAAACACCTTCATTACTTTTTTTTGGTTTTTTTAAGATTTTTTTTTTTAATTGGGGAATTGGGGGGAGGGGAACAGACAAGTCGCTGTCCTTCTGTTCTTCAGTCTAGTTGTGGAGGACGTTGCTTCACTGGCCCAAGTTGGTATGATCATTGCCTCTTCCCGGGTGAGGCAGTCGCTCGCCGGTTATTGGACGGCCGCTCATGGCGGCTCACAGCAGCTCACACTGGCTGTCAGCCAGTCACGGTAGCTCATGGCAGCCCACTGCAGCAGGGGCTGCAGCCTACGCCGTCACTGGTGACTCATGGCAGCCCAGATCCAGGTCAAGCTGTTGTTCACCATCTTAGCTGTTGTAGAGGGCGCAGCGTCACTGGCCCTCATGTGGGATCCAAACCGGAGTCCTGCTACTCAGAGATGGCACCCCAAGCCAACTCTTAACAAACGCGCCACTCGGCTGGCCCACACCTTCATTACTTTGATTCCAGGACATCACACATTTTTCTTCCTATCTCACTGGACATCTGTCTCTCCCTTACTAGTTTTGTCTCTGACCTTTGAACATTGTCCCCGTTACCGGAGAGCTCTGCCCTTGGCCTGGTTCTTAGTTGACACGAACTCACCTTCATCATCTCAACCAACCAACCTCAGGGTTTTTTTTTTTTTTTGCTTTTTGGTTTTCTTTTTAAAGATTTTATTGGGAGAGCCGGCTGAGTGGCGCATTGGTTAAGTTGGCTTGGGACGCCAGCCAGCTCTGAGCAGCAGGGCCCCGGTTCGGATCCCACATGAGGGCCAGTGACACTGCCCTCTACAGCTAAGATGGTGAACAACAGCTCGACCTGGAGCTGGGCTGCCATGAGTTGCCGGCGTCAGCGTCAGCTGCAGCCCCTGCTGCAGTGGGCTGCCATGAGCTACTGTTGAGTGGCTGGTAGCTAGCATGAGCTGCCAAGAGCCACCATTAGCGGCCATCCAGGGGCCAGCGACCGATCTGCCTCACCTGGAAAGAGCGCAATGATAATACCAACATGGGCCAGTGAAGCAACGTCCTCCACAACTAATCTGAAAAACAAAAAGGAAAGCAACTTGTCTGTTCCCCTTCCCCGATTCCCCAACGCTGTTCCCCTACCCCAATTCCCCAATAAAATCTTTTTTTAAAAAAGATTTTATTGGGGAATTGGGCAAAGGAACAGTGTTGAGGAATTGGGGAACACTGTTTTTCCAGGACCCAATAGCTCCAAGTCAAGTTGTTGTCCTTCAGTCTTAGTTGTGGAGGGTGCAGCTCAGCTCCAAGTCCAGTAACTGCTTTCAATCTAGTTGCAGAGGGGAGCAGCCCGCCATCCCATGCGGCAGTCGAACTGGCAACCTTGTTGTTAAGAGCACGAGCTCTCACCAACTAAGCCATCCAGCTGCCCAGCGGCAGCTCACAGCTGCTCAGCTCAGGTGCAGCTCATTGGGCCAAAAGGGAATCGAGCCGGAGACCCCGTTTCTGAGCTCACGCTCTAACTAACTGAGCCACCTGGCCAGCCCCTCAGGGCTTTATATGACATCTGTATGACCATGACTTGAAAAATCACATGTATGGACCAGATCTCTCCCCTACACCCCAGTCATGTATACACAAGTGCTAAATTGACATCTCCCCTTGATGCTGTGACTGTTTTCCAAAGATAGCTGCAAAGGTGGCTCCCATCCCACCCAACCTTTGGCAATGAGCCCTTGCTATGTCCTGATGAAATTCCTCTCCCCCAGAATCAAAACTGGCTTTGTGACTAACTTGTAATGAACAGGATGTGGCAGACGTGTCACTGCATGACTCAGAGGCCAGGTCAGAAAAAAATCATGCATTTTTCACCCGAGACTATAGGTATACTCTCTCCAAAAGCTCGCACTAGAGACCCTGTTACCTGCGTGGAGAAACCTAAGGCAAATGGAAGAGCCATGTGTGCTCTCACTGGCAGTCCCCAGCTGGGCCCACCCTTCAAGTTGTTCAGTTCAGGTACCAGATGAGATGATTTCAGCCCTCAGCCACTGGAATTTTCCCAGCTAGAGACCCAAACATAATGAAACAGAAAAACCATCCTGGCTGGGCCCTGTCCCAATTCCTGACCAGC